AGTATGGTGCCTTTGCTTTCGAATGGTCTTAGTAATCTGGAAATTACCAAGTAAGTAAATACCCGATTTAAGTAATATGCGTTTTACCGCCCTCCCCCCTGGATATACGAGCACGAATTTTGACCTACGTGGTATTAATAACGTCGGTCCGTTGCAGTAGGTCATACCATCTTTTAAGTCATGTTAAACGCTTTTTGCTTCATATGCACAAGGTTAAGCATGTGTCAAAAGCTGGTTGGACGTAGCATGCTTCTAGGGGGTGCTTACCATTAGTAACCTACTTGCTATCCTTGACCGCTGTTCCAATGTTCGATACAGTCATGTGTGAAGTTCATCTCGCCAGAATACCTCAATTCCTTCATTCCCTTTTATGCTTAATTTACAATTTGTAACTAAACAGGCCTGCTGTTCTCTTGCAAGACCGGGTTGAAGGGGCAACGTTTACTCTAATTTGCGCAGAAGATACCGGCGTCCTATTTCTCTGGCTACTTGGTGAAAAGTTGCAGCCTTTGCAATACCAATATTCACCGGTGTAATTGGTAAACCCAGTCCTGACTGTGTAGAGCCTCTGTACGTGAATTTATGTTTGCACTAGCCTACTTGGGAGTGCAGGGAATTGCACTAATTGATTGGGCGATAAACTAAGATCAGTAGCCTCTACCTGAATTGTGCTCACATTTGTTCAGACAGAACTGAGACCACACTTTACCAGTTTACACCGGTATATATCTATGGCATGAGATCTTCGGACGCCTGATCAGCATTAAGCTTTATGTAGAACACTGGCGAGAAAATTTCTCATGTGGTAATTGAAAGTCTTCCGTCAGCACGCCGATATTTTGGGTCTATTAAAAGGGTGTCTGGAGTTTCTGGTCTGAGTCCAAGTGTGCCGTGCGAGCCAGTCAAGGTTCAGATGTGTGACGCTCGACGCTGTGTTACGTGTTTCAGGAGATGTCAGTTTTACGTATATGACTGGTAATCTCACAGGAGCCTACAAAATGAGAACCCCGGCGGTTATGGTTCTTTGTTTCGCCCGGCGAATACGCTGACAGACAACGAACGTAGTTTTAATCAAAGAAGTTCCTGTGAGAATGTTGCCTGCCTCAATGAAGCAACGTACATATCTTCAGATATAGTACTCGAGATATCCTCATTGCATTACTGAACGTTAATGGGTCACGTTTATTCGATGAAAGCATTGCACCTTCTGTACTGCAGACGCATAGGTTTAATCAGAGTTAACAGTGCACACCGTTTTACGCTATTGTCTCCTCAGCCTGGCGAGTGTTAAATGCTCCCTTCTTACCGAATATTTCGTCCCCGAACTATTTACGTGTGGGATATACGAAGAGCCGAGGGTATGCAGAGTGTGCTTATAGCACTTCAAAGTCAATACGATTGTTTTAAAAGACGATGGCTCGCTTGAAGTTTCTTAACGCCTAGCATGAACTTGTTTATCCGCTTGATTCTTTTCTTCCGGTCGACGGAGCCCACATGAAGTTTTAGTAAAGGTGAGATTGCAGAAGAGCTGAAAAATTGTGTTGATCAGGCAAGGCATAGCAACTGGTTTCTATTGTTCCGCTGGTTACTACCAAACGCCTGGAGGCTGCTTCTATGGTTGCCTTTGCGCTCTATGCACAAGTATAATTAAGTCAACTATTTAGAGAGAGAGAGGGCATGCCCTCTCTCTGGCAGAGAGCCATCGACAGACCAACGAGCCCGTGGCCCAATGATTACTATGTTGGACTTATTCTTTACAGGTCGCGCGTTCGAGGCTTAGGTGTTGCACAACCTGGGATTGGGCATGGCTGGTTGGTGACAGCTGCCATGCCAAATGGCCTGCCTCGCATTAGTCGGGAATATTCTTTTGCATGTAGTGCTGGCCGCTGTGCGACCGTGGATGGGGCTCGAAAGTGAAACCCGAGGTACAATCGGACCAAGTAACGCGGTCATTTACTAACTTATCTTACTTCAAATATCAGAAGCCCGTCTAGAATCAGGGTGCGACTGCCTAATGGTGGCACAGTTAGTGACCTAAAAGGAGGTCACAAAATTCGCGCAAGAGCCCCTTGTAATGCACAGACCCTCTACCCGTCATCGAAGAATGTTTTACTGCTTTAGGAAAAAGACCTTTCGCCAAAAGGAGGCATATTTCGGTTTACAAATTATAATTTAGTAGCAATAAGTAAGCTGTTTCATCGAAAGCCATCAAATCTGGAAAACCAATATGACAGGTGAAATTTTAGGACCTAGTTAAATCTGACAGCAGAGAAGGAAAGTATAATACAACGATAAAATGATGAAAAACAGTAAAAAACGATACTATAGTACTTTGGTGGTGTAGTCCAGGGTGCCTAATTGTCTATGGTAGACTGGTATGTGCAGTTATTTAGCGCAACATCTAGTTTCCTGCAGTGAACCGTGTTCTCTGGGCGTGTGCCGATTACTTTTGCTTAGTGTGAAGAAATATTGTAGACCGAGATGCGGGCTGTTAGCAGGAATGAAAATGCACCACCTGGGGTTCGAACTTGCCAACTTTTCGATTAGAGTCGAACGCTATAGCCTATAGCAACGAGCTCGTCATCTTGCCGGCTTAAGTCGGGAGATATTGACGCTTATTGACGAACTTTCTGACTGACTGGGGTATAGCACTAATGTAAACTACCATGACTAAGGGCCTTACAGGTCGAGATTGGGATACTCATGCGTGTGGTAGATTGCAAAAATTCCCCACAATGAGTTCGGCTGTATCTTCGCCGGACTTCAACCGTGATCATGTTACTTAACGGCGTGCGTTAATCAAGCTGTGCATTGTCCGCATCGCCTTAGAGAAGGTGTGTGTTTCAGAAAGCCGAGACGTAGACCTTCACGACACATCGACCACTGAATCGGATTTTATCACTAACTGGTTGGTTGTCTTGAACACTTGACTGGTGCTCAAGAGAGAGTGAGACCAACACCGGGAACCCACTGTTCACGATAAATCATCGCATACAGCAATAATATAAGGGTGACGAGCTTGACTGCATAGGGACGTGCTAATAATTGTTGATTGACAGGTTGCTAACGGACTGAATAAGTCAGTCGTTCTCCGAACTGGGAGTCGGGATGCCGTGACACCCTGACGTGGCCACTGTGGCACCCGCGAAAATCCGTGTCACCCGCACTACAGCTTCGCACATGGAGGTGAGAGAGCGCAGTAATTGCCGTTCGAGTCGACGTTATTGCGTCCATCTTGTGTAGCCACAGCAAGTTTCGGCCCTCAGGGCGTCTTAACTGGCGGACGTTAGTGAACGTGGAAGATCATATATCTTTCTAAGTAAGTGCGAGGAAACCTTCGTGCGAAAATATTTTTCGCACTAGTCGGTTATATGCGACATATACATATTGGTCACCTCATTTACTAGATTTTCCCTAAAACGATACGAC